TAGAAAGATTAGTTAATGGATAAGGTTAGCTGTAAAGGGAATTAATTGGACTTGGTGATTCTTCTTTGTGAAACAACAATCTGTTATCCTTTTCTCACACATATTTCTGGTTTTCCTGGGTCACTAATCCTGTGTGGAAAGGCTAAGCTATAAATATGCATTGCTTCATTCACATTCCTCTCGTTCATCCTCTCCATTGAACTGTTTGCTCACTTTTGTCAGCTTTAGTTTTTTGTTGATAAATAAGGTCAATAAAGATGTGGGTTAACTATGTATTTGGTAATTCTTACAAGGAGATTGGCAGGCATTTTTTAAAATTGTGGTTATTTTACCTTAAATTGATGAGACCTATTCCACATCTATTCCACAAATTGCCATTCTTTGGTAAACAGTGTCTCTTACCATAATCACCCAGCAGCTAAAGATGGAGTCTTTTCAGAATGTCTCTTGGAGAAAAAGCCAAAAAGCAGCAGATGTGTAATCTGCATAAGTGAGGTAAAGGGACCCTCTGGTGCATATAAAAAAAAATTATAATAAACACAAATAAAAAAAGAAAGACATCACCACAATGACAGCAGCACATTTTGCATTTCAACTTGCAATTGTGATTTAAAAGAGCAAAGGAAAACTTTATTCACAGTATAGCTTTTTGGCACGATGCCCTATTGCTTTTTTCCTCCACTGACTCTTTTACTCTTTATTTTTCCACTTGGAAAACTGGTGTTGAAGTGCCTATAAACAAGGCACTGCTCCAGAAAAAAAGGAAAAGAAAATCAATTGTAATGCTCTGTGAGCTACTCAATGGCCAGCAGGAGCAGACTGTAGCTGTGAAAGTGTCTAATGTATGAGTGTCACCCAGGGAACAAGGGAGAAATAGATGGCCAGTTAATGTTCCTGGTGTAAATAACGTTTTAAGTGTATTTCACTGAAATTCTATGAGACTCATAGATTTATTGTGTAAATAAGGCACTTTTTTAAGGGAAGTTTACTAGACAATCAGTCATCCAATTTGAAGACAAGGCAGCATAACTGACATTAAAAATCAAACACAGGTTGATTAAAAACATGGAGATGAATAAGGCTTTGAGAGAGAGTAGGGAGATGTTTTTGCTTGTCTTCGTGCATTACCGAAAAAAAACAGACAGACAGAAAAAGAAAGACACACAGACACTTGTCAGGCTCTATTGCTGTACATGAATCTGACAGAAGCAGCTTAGGGACGCAGCCTTGTCCATCATCCTGCTTGCTGACAGACATGCACACACACCGACGTCCTGACAGACACACCATGGGACAACAGTGTCGCTGTGTTTTCTTATATATGACTCTCTCTGTGTGTGTGTTTGTGTGTGTGTGTGTTCATCATCCAGGCATGCAAAATCAATCAACCTTTTCATTTAAACATCATCTTTGAATTTTAGGGGTAAACTGACAACCACTAAAAGCCACAGACTCACTTGTGATTGAAAGCCCCAATCTAGTTTCCTTTTGACTGAACCAACATTCGAACACTTATTTTTGACTTCAGAGTTTTAAACCCATCTCAGCATATTGTGATAAATTTACAGGGATCTAAGATTGTTTACAGAATGCCAAAGAAAAGTCTTTCATTTTGGTGATAAATCTCTGTTTTAGCAAAGCAAGCAAGCAAAAAAGTTACTTGTGTTTGCATTTACGCAGGCCAAAGAAGTTTGAAAAGATACATATTGTACAATACTGTTGCATCAACTTCTTATACAGTAGGTCATTGTGTTTTTAAAGACTCATCTAGGCAAGTGAATTTAGTTCAACCTAGTATAGAAAATTTGTGGTTGTGGTTAAAGCAGCATTAACTAGTTTTCCACAATGGCAGACATGTTCGACATAGTATGGCTCTGTGAAGTTATATTCACTGATGCCTACCTGTGAACAGGTGCAACACATCCAGCTGACACATGAGGATTAACTTGAAATTGTGTTTCTGCAAATCCAACATTGAATCGATTAGGCTCCTTCTAGTACTGTTTAGTCTCCACCAACTCTCGAGAAGAATATCTGGCTCTTTAGCTGCTAATTGCTCCACTATGCTAAGCTACTCACTAACTTTGTCTGTCTGCTGTTTTGTGAAGCATTTTGCTGAAAACAGCTGCCTGCCTTGGCTGGAAATGAGGTTGATGAGAGCAGTGGGAGTTAACCGAAACAGTAAAGTTGCAGGCAATAAAACCAAAATAATGAGCTGAAAGACACTAAAATGCTCCACAGAGTTGTGGGGAGCTGCAGTGACTGGAGTCCAGTTATAAGGCTCTGGAGGTTCATCTCAATGACCAACTCCTTCCACATTAAGCACAGTTATTTTATATGACCCCCTCACAGCAAAGCTTGTGAGGAAAATCCAGGGTTTATCAAGCGTTGGATAAAACTTGCAGTGACGCTGCAAGAAAGAAGCACGGGTGACATCTGAAGGAAACGCCCCAATGTTATTGTCTCGTCCACTGTTATTTATACCTTTCTGAAATGGTCCAATTTAAATACCCTACAATTGCACAGAAAATAGGTATGTTCTGTCCGGTTTGAGATAGATTGTTGGCAGTGGTTGTCACTCTTCAGACTATGCCCGTTGTAATTATTGGCAGTCAGTCTTAAAATGTTCGGTGACAGGCCTCTACTTTCTGTAATAGTTGTTGCTTTGAGCTAATGTGGATTACAGTTTTACACCTGTCACAACTTGGGTTCTGGTCTTGTTGTACTATAGGAATGTAGCTCCTGAATTGGTCAAGAAAGTGTATTATTTGATATTACATTAACCAGAGCAAAGTTTGTGCTCTCACCTGAAGGATTTTTCATGGAGGTGTTTTATTATTATCATTATTTTTACCTTTCCAGTATGTTTTATTTATGATTTGTCTTTGCCGCAACCTAAAAGTCTAAAGGTCTCTTGAGTTAAATAGTTCTCAGCCAGTGCTCAGGCATACATATCTTTTCTCAATTGTCATTCTTTAATTCATGTTATATAGGCTGTTTTTGTTTGTTTTTAGTTTTTTTTTGGGGGGGGGGGGGTTGTTTTTTTCTCTCCTAACTCATTGCTTTGCGTTTCCTTTGAAGTGGATTATCTTCTGCTGGTTGAGGAGGAGGACAGTGAACAGGAAGGACATGGAGAATAGGGTGAGAGAAAGAGAAAGAAACAGAGGAAGCAGAACAATTGGTGGGAGTTTTCTGGAAAGTTAATTTTATGTAACATTCAGCTGCTGAATAATAAAAGAGGAGTTTTTAGGGGACCACCCGTTATTTTATGCTGTACGCTGCACACACACAAACGTAGTATTTTACTTGGGAACATGAGCACACACCAGACTCAAATAACATGTACACAGCCTTACTTGCAAAACAGCACTTTTTTTAATCTTCGGTCAACCAGGGAGCATTTTTTACTCCTTATATATACCAAGAAAAAGTAGTTTAGAGTGAAACAGAAAGAAGTGGGTTTTCAAGTTTTCATAAGAGGGACGTTCCCTTGTGCCAAACACGAAAAAGCTTCTTGTTTAGACAGACACACACACGTACACACAGGTGCATATATACATAAACACTCACAAACATACAGAATGCATGGCACGGGACCGCCATGACATATTTGCAGGCAGCTTTTTGGCAAGACATGAAGCGAGACAAATACAAGAAAGTTATAATGAGAAAGGAGACAAAGAGGATTGGCAGTTTTTTTTTTCCCCTCCTCTGTATAGGGGAAAAAGTTTATTAGAGAGTACGTCTGTGTTTGTATTTGCATAGTTGTTTGGCAGAGACTATTGTACGTGTGTTAATAAGAAACGCAGTAAACAAGCTTGCGTGCGTGTGTGCACAAGCCTATAAAGTGTGTTAATAAACTGAGGGAGGGTCTCGTCAAGGTGATAAATAGAACAAAACACACCGGGACGGATTAGAGAGGGAGAGGGAGAGAAAGAAAATAAAGAGATTAACCATAGAATGCCTTGAGATTGAAGGATGGAGGAGGGTCTTAGGGAGGGTTGAAGTAAGGTATATAGGGATAGAAGAGAGGGAGGAAGAAATGGAAGGAAATCGCAGAGGGATGGATGAAAGGAAGAAAAAAGTTTTAGGAAGAGGTGAGGGAAAGAGATGAAAGAGGAGACCTGCTAAGAAAAAAAAGGAGAGAGAGCGACGAGGGAATGTCGAGGAAGGAGGAATGGAAAGAAAGAGGACATCTGGAAGGGAAGGAGGGCAAGAATATGGAAGATGGGAAGGAAAGCAGGGGTGTGACATCTAATAGAAAACTGAAGGAAATATAGGGAGAGTTGGAGCCAAGAGAAATGGAGGAGGAAATCATCCAGAATAAAGGAAAACCTGTGTGAAAAGGGAGAGGAGGTTAGGAAAAGAGGGAATGAACAAGGAAGAGAGGACTGGAAGAGACAGTAGATAATGAAGAGGGGATGAGGAAGGCAAAGATGAATGGTGTTAATCTAACTGGAGAGAGGAGAAAGGGAAATTAGGAATGAGGGATGGCAAAAAAGTGAGGGACAAGAAGAAGACTGAATGTAAGTTTGTGCAAAATACTGAGGAAAGAAAGATAGAGTAAGGGAGAGAAGAATACATATTTAAAAGGAAAAAGGGGTGAAGGAGGTGCTGATGAGAGGAAGAAAGAGAGCAGAATGAGAGAATGAGAGAAAAAATGTTAACTTTTTTGTCACTCCTTTGTCTTTTCCCACCAAAACATACCGTGGGAGGTGGCACCATCCTGCGTAAATCAGTTTTAAAAGGCATTTTATACAAAGAGAGTATCGCACGTATCAGGGATTAAAGAAAATCAGCGAGAAAATCGGGGCAGGGAAATTCCAAGCGAAGCAAATTCGGTTTTAAGCAAATTCCCCCTAACTGTCACTGTGACAACTCAGCTTTCTTTTTCCTCTTTTGTTTATGATGTGCCTGTGTGAACTTAAGATTAACTTCACTTTCTCTTCTCTCTCTCTCTCTCTCTCTCCCTTCATTCCTTTCTTTATCACGCTCTGCAGGGTGTGGTTCCAGTCAGGCATCAACTTCCTGGCTGTTAAACCCAGCAACCTCGTTGCATGGGAGATCAAACAGGAAATGGCACCGGGAAGCAGTTCGTTGGCAGTGATGTGTCAGAGAAAGGCCTACTCCACAGCAGAGAGGTAGGACTGAATCTCACACCTCAGAACCTGGGAAGCTTATTTCTTTTGTATTTGAGTATTTGGGGGTGTGTATAATGTCTGAAGAGACTGGCGATTATTCCCCATAAAACTGTTAAAACCCTTCATTTTGGCAGCTAGAGATCCTAATTGTTTTTACAGTGACTGTGTCTGCAACAAAGAACAAATTAAATATTTATGATTTATGTATAATCTGCAGATTTGGGTTTATAGGAACCAAATTTGAATGGTTCTTCTTAAAGTAGTATTTTTTGGGGCTTTTATTGCCTTTATGATAGTGACAGACAGACAGGAAAGGGGGGCAGAGAGTGGGGATGACATGCAGCAAAGGGCCGCGGGTCAGATTCGAATCCTGTGCCGCTGCAGCAATGACTCAACCTCGGTACATGGGACGCCAGTGCTACCAACTGAGCTAACTGGGCACCCTAATGGTTCTTCTAATGTAGACTGATTATGGTTTTAATCTGAATGTACGCTTTTGAACACTATAGCCAATGTACAGTTATTGCACTGACATGGTAACATGGCAAGACTGTCCTTCTGTCTATTGACTGAGAGACAGTCAATAGATTTGACCTTTGAACTCCAACCTATAATCCATACAATAACAGATGTGTGTGTGTGTGTGTGTGTGTGTGTGTTGAATAGGCTGAAGTAGTGGGGTTACAATTGTTCATTTGATCCTGTATACACACCATCGGTATGTAGTACACATACACACACGGTGGGCTGACAAGCAGCAGTGGCACTGACCCATGCGTCATACAGAATTTGCCATTTACTTGGTAATTGCTCTGTTCTTGTTTGGTTGGCTATGTTGGCGTGTGCGTCAGGATTTGAGTGTGTGAGTCTGTTTGTGTCAAGAGGGTAGAACCAGCGACAGCAGAGTGAATACACCCTGGTTTTTATTTTGTTGCTAATGTGATGGACAGGTACAGGTACTTGATCCCAGCGCATTGTTAGTATGAAGTTGTTGTAACGTAGCAATAATTCCACAAAAAAAAAACAAAGACAGATTAAATGTAATCAGTGTGGTGAGATGTAAAAATCCTAAGGTGCTGAGAAAAACGTCTCACTTATAAAAAAAAAAAATAATAAGATAGCAAACAGAGACAGAGGTTAACTGGGGACCGAAAAAAAAGTTATTCAGCAAGTATGAAAAGGTAATGGTACGAAAACAACACAATGCAGGTGAGGAAGACAAATTAAATGAATTAAAATAGCCTCACACAGTAAATACTGGTTTGACTCACAGCTCAAAGCAAGCTCCGAGGACTACAGTCAAAGATTTTTACTCCAAATTTGAGATATGCACAATATGAAAAATGCCTATTCTGTGATTGACAGCTTGAAAAGGAAGCTAGGCCGAGCTGAATAGCTAAATAACTGTTGCTGCCGTTAAGGTGGAAACAAATCATTCATTTTTGTTTATCCTTGTGTATTTTTTAAATGTTGATTGTTGTATTTCAGTGCAGTACAGATATAGTAAATGGCAGTTTGGAGCAGTTCTTTAAGTGAAGTGATCATACTAGGTAAACTAAACAATGCTACATTCAAGTGACAAAAACATTAAACATGGATGCGAAAGGTTTATTACCCCTCTTTTCTTTATATGTCTCTGTTTGTCTTCATTTAATTTTTCTCTCTCTCCAATTTCACCTCATCTGTCTATCCATCAATCTCTTTCTCCAACCTTGTGTTGGAGTGACTAAAGTGTCCCTCATCTCCTCCCTTTTTCTCTTCTCTCTCTCCCTCTCTCTGCTGTTTGAGCACAGTGCTGATGAATGACTTCCCATTGGAAAAAACTATTATTGCAGGACCCCGGCTCAATTAGCACCACTTAGCTAGCCGTTAGCCATGTCTAGCCTTGACTGATGGACAGCGTCGGCAGCAACGGATAACCCAAATGTGGGAATAGAGAGAAACGAAACTGATGACACAACAGCTTTAAGCTTTCTAATTAAGAGCATAAGACATTAAAAGTTTTCATCGGATGTTTTTTAAACTTTGAACTAAGTGTCTTTGTAGAATATGTTTGGTAGAGGATCTATCTTTTTGACTTTTTTTTTGGAATCAAACTAGAGTCATACCATGACCATTTGCTAAGCCCCACCTCCCTTAGTCACCGTGCAACGCCAGAGAGAGCATTTAGGATGATGATGTTTGACAAGTGTTGTTTTTGGTGAATGTAATGCTATCTTGGGTAATGTTGGCTCGAGTAACTGAGTGTAAACTGTAAAACACACACACTGGATAAGCTAGTTGTCAACTTTCTTTTAGCATAACCTGAAACCCAACAACTAGTTATTGCTACTTAATGACATGCTCCTTGGCCATGGAAGTAGAGTAGTTACTGTAATCTAAATCACTGATATTATGGTTATTATTATTAGTTATTATTAAGTATTATTATTGCTACAGTTACTGTTGTCGCTGCTGGCTGTCCCCCATCGTTGCTGCTGTCATCGTCTTTTTCATGATTGTCATCGATCATTACTATTAATGTAGTTGTTGCTACTGTTGTTGCTGTACATCTGTCTTGAATGATTGAATTAATCAGACATCCCACATTAGAACAATGTTTAATTCATTCCATACACTTTAGCTGGTGGGCTGGCTGGCTAAAACAAGACTATATGATTATATAGTAAGAGCAATACTCTGCAACCACATGCACAACGCTTATGTTGAAAGATCAAAAACTTGACAGACCTGCCTTATGTAGTTATGGACAATTACTGTTTGGGAAAAGGGGTACAGCAACAGGTTTACTGGTGGATACTAGTGAATATAAACACATACATGGTATTGATGCTGTGTAAACATCTTCTGGATATTTCTTGGATGGATTGGATTGGATGGAATGGATTGCTCAGGGATTCGTACTTCTGTGGTGCACTTCAGAAATGCTGATGAAATACTGAAGGCATTTGATGAATTTTGGGATGTGCCAGCCACTGTAGCCTGGAGGCAAATAAGTTATTTTCCTGGCCCGTTGTCATCCATCAGGATGGTGTTATTTGAGGTGTTGAGATGGAGGTGACTCTAAACGACTGCTTATTTCCATGCGCTTTGGCACATAGCCATGTGTGGTACAGTTTCCTTTTTCTTGCCCTGAAGGAAAAACCCATCACGTCAGGGTAAACATAGAAAGTGGTGCTTTAGAAACCAGATTATGATATAGCTTTCACATATACAGAGAATCACAGACACAAACACACACTCTTCCACATTCATATCCTCTTACACACATACATGCTTCTGCCATCTTCAAAGTGATACTGGTAACAAAGAGGTGCCTAAAAGCTCAGATTATGATGTGGCAGGCACAAATATATACAAGTGTACTGATGTACACGCTTGCATAAATGCACAGGCCTGTATAAACATGGGCAGAACACACACACACACACACACACACACAGTGCACTCAATGCACTACCTCCGTGTTACCTCCCTAATGAAACAGCAATGAAGACTGCAGGTGGGAGTGAAGCTGACATTTTTTTACTACAGGCAAGACACACACACACATATACATACACACACACACACACACGCACACACACACCCCAACAGACACGTACACTATATGCAGACTGTTGCCAGCATACAACAGATCACAGGCTTTTATCATCAATTGTGTGGGCGGGATGGCTAATTAAAAGAGCTGATCTGTATTAATCTCTAATGAGATATTACTGGTTGAGACATGAAACAGTGAGTGTGCTTTTTTATGAATGAGAGGGCGGTGAATGATTACTACCTCTGACAGTTAATCTTGTGAATTGATTCCTGTTACCTATTGTTATTCTATCATATAATATCATCCGACATGATACGGTGTTCATTATATGTGTATAATGGGGAATGCATGGTGAATAGATGCAGTAATTAGAACCAGAACGTAGGCTTTGCTGTGTGTGTAGGTATGATTTTTAGTGTGTTGATGTGTATGTTTATCGATGTAAGTGTCGATGAGGTGGGTGTATGTATGCTGTTTTACATATATTGTATTTTTGTATATATGTATGTAGGTTGACAGTTATCTGAGACCAAAAAAAGAAATAAATTGTTGCTCATGATGACTGTAATTACACCATCACATGTCCCTGGAGACCTCAATTATTTTTTTCATTAAAGCCCCTTATTTACACAGAAGTTTGGATTAAAGCTCTCCTACAGCTCTCATTTGTTCCTTTATTGATTTTGATTACACAATAGTTATTTATTATTTGTGTATTTCTCACTATTCAACCATTCTGGTATCATTTAGCTTTAATTACACAGCACCATCATACTGTGTTATTGACACTCTGCTTAGTTCCGCCTCCCTGGCCTTCTGCCGCTTAGTACCAGTGCTTTGAAAAAATAAAATATAATGAGTTATAACTTTTGGATGTGCATGTTTGTGTCTCCACTGCCTCAGAAACTGCCATTGAGGTGCCCTCGAGCAAGATTTGCCTTTTGTTAGAATTCTTTTTTTTATATGTTATTAAGCATTCATTTGTCCCTGTCGATTCTATTTTAGTATCATTTTAATATCATGTTATTATAATCCTGCTATGTCTATTATTTCTAACAAATCTTTGGATTATTTCTTCCATTTTCTATTTATAAATTGGGTTGCTTATGCAGTAGGCTTGACCTTGTTGAATGTTCGCTGTTGTTACTGATAGTGTTAGTCATTTTCCCAGCCTCATGGGAGTTATGTCTGACTTGTAAAATTTGTTTCTCTTTTCTTCTCTGTTTACAATCTTTTTACTATGTTGCATCTTAAATAGATTAAACCTAACAAGAAGTGGAACAGGCTCAAAATGACCTCAGTTTTGCCTGGTGGGTTATATGAGGAAAATGTGCCATAGTTTATGGCTGTGTCTGATGCTGCCAGAATGGGAGCAGTGCTCTATTTCATGATCATGATTAGATCTATAGATTAACGCTGCTAATGGGCCTCGTTCAATACCAGAACTGGGGTAATG